CGTTGTTTTTCGTCAAACGGACAACCATATTATGGTGGATGTTGTTTGCATGATCTCAGTTGTGGCGACACGCAAGGTCAATCTTGACGCACGCAGCATTTCTTAACCGGTTGACTCGGGACCAGTTTTGCGCCAATTCACTTAGGTACTGGTGCGAATGCCGCGTGCGTGACCCCCTCCCAATACCGCATCCGTAAGACCAGCTGCCTCGGGTCTCTTGACCCACACCATTGGCGATAATTGTCATTGCTAACTGAGCGCATTTTTGTGCTCTCAAAGGGAGTTTAAGAACGTTCCGCCCATCTTTCGAGCGCTAAAGAATAGTTATCGATTATACATGAGTGCGTGCTCACTGGCCGCGCAAGATTATTTGTGGGTCATCTGTCAATAGTAACCAGATTTTAACATACCTGATCTGCCTTTCCTTTAAGATTTTTTGCGCTCTTCGCATCTTTACGAGATTTCGCCTTTTTCTGCGAGAGAGCCAACGATTGACTCTTATGAATAAGTGATGAAAACCTTTTTAAGGTGTTCTTTTTTCGCGCTGATTGATCTTCCGCCTGGTTTTTGTCCTCGGTCGCTTGCTTTTTGGCGGGACTACCTGGGTCTTTCCCTTCAACTACCTTCTGCGTCCCATCAACCGGCTTATCCTCGTTCTTTGGCGTTGTACTGGTTGGCGTTCCCTTATCAACAACTTTCTCTTCTTTAGTCTTCTTCTTTTCCTCTTGGGTCTTCGCTTTATCTTCTTTTGTCTTCTTCTTTTCCTCTTGAGTCTTCGCTTTATCTTCTTTTGTCTTCTTTTTTTCATCTTTATTTTTCGTTTTCTCTTCTCTGGTCTTCTTCTTTTCCTCCTGATTCTTCGTTTTTTCTTCCTTCGTCTTCTTTTTCTCTCCTCCTGTTTTCTTCTTTTTCTTTTGCTCGCTCTTCTTTTTCCCTTTAGCTTTCTCGTCTGTTTTGTGTTTGCGCTTTTTGTCTTTGTGATCACCTTTCTTCTCCTTTCCATCATCGGTTTTCTTTTTCTTAACCTCTTTACCAGTCTCGGGAAGAGGTGCTCTCACATCACTTTCTGGAAGAAGATTTTCGAAGCCTTCATAGGAATAATGACAGTTGGGGTGGGGGAGAAGCGCGACGCGGCGCAACTATGCCACGTCATTTCTGCTCGTCTGCGATCTCTTGCGATATAGCGTCTGAGTTTTTTTTGATACGGTTCCCGACACAGATTGAGCAGGAAATCTATTGCGAGCAAAAAGATGCGCTCTGCGACCGCTGCCCATTTCAATCTCTTCTCTTATAAGGGCTTCTCTGCCTCCCATCCGTATGGACCTTGACTCGCAGCCACTCCTCTTACTACTCTCAGGTATGGGCCGTAGATCGCAACCTCATTCCTTCCCACAATCCTTTCTCAATCCTTCACTCTTCTTGAGCAAATCGATCAGCAGTGAATAGGAGGAGCTTAGTTGATAACGTCACAGCCAGTTGGGGGAGGGGGGGGGGTCAGGAGGGGCGGGATAATCTTGCCTCCAGCTGCTCTGCTTTGGCAATGGTGATCGATTAGCGGTCGATTTGGGACAAAAACAACCAGGTGGCAAAGCCGCGGGAGGGCTCATTCTGAAAGACCAGTCGTAATCCGTCGCTCGCCGTGCGCGGCGTACCGTGCGGCGATGCGCGGCAAATCTTCGATGTGCATCAGATTTTTACGAGAAGCAGCGAAACTCGAGCGCAGACATGACTCCATGACGAGCGATATCGAAATCTCCCGTCACGTTGACTCTAAAGTTCAAACGGACGGGCAGGACAACTCGTCCGTCGAGCGCGATGTCGCCCGCCACGCCCACCGGCGCGGCATATTGCGACTGCTCTTTCACGGACGAGTTGCCTCAGCGTTGCGGCCGACGCTGGAGTTACACTTCTGATTTCAGTGTGACTCAACACTGAAATCAGCAGTGTTGCTCCAGCGTCGGCCACAACGCTGAGTGGATGGAGCGGCGCCTTTCTGTAATAGATACCTGCGCCCTGTAATCGATACCTGCGCCCTGTAATCGATACCTATGTTGTTCATGAGATGTCGACTGCCTATAATCGACTGCCCACTGCAGCTCTGCGTAGGAGGCAAAAAAGACGAGTCGGGTACTGAAAACCTGTACACACTCACCACTTGTTGTCTGTGTCTTGGTCTGAGTTACTGATTTTTGAGTTTTTGACACTTGAAGTGTCGAACTCTTTTGCGTCTTTTTACTTCCAATTTTGCTACCTCCACCACTTAATCTGAAGCCCTTCCCTTTCTTCTCACACATGAATATGACATCCTGCAAAAGGGTTTCCTTTCAGAATCACCAAAGTGGAGGAGACCTTGAACAAGACCTAACCGCAATAATGACCAGTCCAAGGGCGGAAAGAAAGCAATCGAGTAGAGAATACTGAACGAGTACCAACATGCTACGTAGTAATAAGACATAAAATGAACTGAACTTGCTTTCTAGCAGCTAGGGAGTTTGATAAAAGTCAACTCGAAAACAAGTTGATAATGAAAAGAGAGGTGGGTAGCGATGCGAATGGTCTAAAGGACTACTGTTTCGACATTTCGAGAAGGGGGGGGGGGGAGGCTGATCTATTACAGGTGTGGTCCAGCGCATTAAAGACAGCCCTCGCGCTCGAGTAGTACATGGTCGTCCTTCCTTGTGCAAGTAGTACAGCCCCCAAGCTAGAGACTGTCCCACTCTCGCGACTCCACAGCGAGCGAGGAGCGAGCTACAGCCGCTGAAAGTCCTAGTTCTAACGCCCGCCCAGTTAGGACCGCCCACTTGCCTCTGACGGAGGGCCGCTCAGTTGTTCTTTGTTGGGCGGCGGGCATTAATCGGAATTGCATGCCTTTTTGCTGACCGCGCTCGTGCCCATGAATGGTTCTGCTCTCCTTTATTACATTTTATTCATTAGGAGCACAGTCAACTCCAACCCATCTTGCAAGGTAAAACGCGTAAAAACAAGCGACCCAATTTTTCGTGGTGCAAAAGCTCGACGCACCACACTACACTAAAAGATGCACGCTACCGTAACCCTAAATTCAGACGCCTAGTTTTTGAAAGTTTCTTTTCCTTTTCAAGAGTTTTTCTTCCGTGTTTTTGTTGTTTTTCGTATTCTTTTCATTGCATTGGATGATACTACTGAGAGATGTGATAAAGGAATTTATGAGCCAGCCAGGGGTTGCAAAGAGAAGGTGTGACTGCCAGGGAGCGATTTTGTTTCATAAGGAGTCTTCTTGCTTTTTTCTTCTTTGGGGAATTACTTATCAGCTACTGTTTCATAATTGAAAAGCAACTATCCATGACACTTTTATCGCGGGAGCTGTCTTTAACTGTAAAGGCAATTTCCGCGACATAGTGACAAGTTCAATGCCCCGGCGCATTCAGTTGCCAGGTCCGCATT